GGTACACAGGCGGCCAATCACGGGCGAGGAGGCGGAGCCGAGCAGACCCGTGAAAATCGAGTGAGGGAAAAGCCAGTAAGTGTGCAGTGCAGAGGTGCTGCTGCAACCACATATGCTGGCTGCAGCAGCACCATACTGCAACAGGGGTCAGCAAGTGTCATTGGTGTCAGTGGGAGGAATAGTGCCGCATCATTGGTGTCACTGATACTAATGATGGGGCATTATTCCTCCCACTGACACCAACGATGGGGCACTATTCCTCCCACTGACACCAATGATGGGGCACTATTCCTCCCACTGACACCAATGATGGGGCACTATTCCTCCCACTGATACCAATGATGGGGCACTATTCCTCCCACTGACACCAATGATGGGGCACTATTCCTCCCACTGATACTAATGATGGGGCTTATACTCGAGTCAATAGTTTTTCCCAGTTTTTTGTGGTAAAATTAGGTACCTCGGCTTATATTCGGGTCGGCTTATACTCGAGTATATACGGTATTTCCTTTTCCCTCCAGGTGAATGGGAATTCTTTTGTAGACTCAGCTTCTCTGACTTTGGGATATTGATGTTTAAGATCTCTGACTTTGTGGGGTTTATTTTCAAGTTTGGTAACTCCCCGTACTGTTTCAATAATCTCATTAAATTAGGCAACGTTATTCTGGGATTTGCAATATAAAATATCATTGTTCACATATACTGCTACCTTATGCTCCGCTTCCCCTATCTTTATTCTAGCTATTTATTCTACCCTCGCCAGCACGGGTTCCAGAGATAGAAAAAACAACAATGTAGATAATGGACATCCTTGCCTAGTTCCGTTGTACATTTTGAAGAAGTGAGAAAGGGATCCATTTACCTTAACCGCCTCTGACGGACTGTTATAAAGCCCTTTTATCCACTACAACATTTTAGGCCCTATTCCTAAGACCTCTAATGTATCGAACATAAATCGCCAGTCGAATCTGTCAAAGGCTTTTTCGGCATCAATCGAAAGGAATATTGTCGGCTGATTCTCTCTCTTCACTTTTTGTAATAAGGACAATGATCTCAAGCCATTATCTCTTCCTTCTCTTCTGGGGATGAAACCTACCTGGTCAAGATGTATCCACTCCGGCTTCAGCAGCTTCAATCTAGTCACCAATACCTTAGCATATACTTTTGTATCGAAATTTAACAGGGATATAGGCCTGTAACTAGCACACTGTGAGCTATCCTTCCCTTCTTTAAGTATGACCGTTATGTATGCTTGCAATGACTCTTCCCTCCTTTCTAACTCTTCTCCTATTGCATTAATGTAGCCTCACATTTTCAGGACCAAAAGATCTCAAAATTTTTTAAAGTAGCCTATCGTGTATCCGTCTGGGCCAGGACTTTTTCCTACAGCTGTATTCTTCAGGGCCAAAATAATTTCCTCCGGTTTAATAGCTCTCTCTAAGGCCTCTATTTCTCTTTTTTTCATCCTCAAATTCTTTTTGGTTTCTGAAGCTCACATCATACAACTTACTATAATAACTACGGAACATGCCAGCGATATCAGTAGTTGCGTACACCAGTTCTCCTTTACCATCTTGAATTTTATCTATAACATTTTTAGACTTTTTTTTCCTTTAACCTCCTCATTAAATATCTTCCAGGTTTGTTCCCCCACTGATATCTTTCTTTTGATACCTTATTGAGTATCCTTCTCTACTCCTGTTCCATAAGGTCTTTTAATTCTTCTCTTTTAACCAATTCAATACCGGGCAATTTTACACCTTCCTGCCCAGGCCAGTTTTCAGGTTTCAGCACTCTCACACTTTGAATGACAATTGCGCGGTCATACAACATTTTCTTCACACAACTAGAGCTTTCTTTTGGTGGTATTTAATCACCGCTGGGGTTTTTATTTTTTGCTAAATTAACAAAAAAAAAACAAAAATTTTGAAAAAAAAAACACGTTTTTCTTTGTTTCTGTTATAAAAGTTTGCAAATAAATAATTGTTCTTCATATATTTAGGCCAAGATGTATTCTGCTACATGTCTTTGGTGAAAATAACCCAAATTAGGATGTATTTTTTAGTTTGTAGGAAAGTTATAGAGTTCACAAACTATGGTATAGATCTGAATATTGATCAATCCTGAAGTACTGACAGCCAATCTAATTTCTTGAGGTCCAAGAATGTCAGAACAGTACAGATATCCCCCAAATGACCCCTTTTTGCAAAGTAGACAGTCCGACGTACTTCATAAGAGGCATGGCGAGTTTTTTGAAGTTGTATTTTTTTGTCATAATTTTTTGGAAAATGAAAAAATTAAAAAAATTAGTTTCACTATTTTGTTTTTACATACTGTCACCAGTGCAGTACAGTATCATCATATAACTGGCATGGCGGTGATAAGGGACACTGACTTGTGACAGTATGAAAAATATATATATATATATATATATTTTTTTTTTTTTTTTTTAAGATTTTTTTTCATATTTCACTATGACCAAAGTGGTAACATTGTACTACTTTGGGGAAGTGATCAGTATTTTTTTAATTTTTTTTCTATTTATTTATTTATTTATTTTACACAATTTGCTTATAGCAAAGAATTACTTTGCTATAAGCAAGCATTTACCTGAATGACATCGATTCATTCAGGGGGTTTTTTTTTTGTGCTTAGCTGTGATTTGGCCACAGCTAATCACATGGCATGGGATTAGCTGTGACCATTCACAGCTAGACACTAGTATACAATGGATGGCATGAATGAAGCCATCCATTGTATACAACTGTCATGTGACCTGCTGTGATTGGTCACAGCAGGTCACATGGTACCCGCAACGGGGGCCGATACTCAGATCTGTCATCGGCCATGTCCGAGGTACACGGCCGGTGTGCGGCTCTGCAGGAGCGCAATCTGCATCCACCCGGAACGCTGATGACATTTGCCGGCCACCATTCGGCCATAGGGCGGGCGGCAAATGGTTAATAATCATCTTCTGGTATAAATCTGAACCTAATTTCTTTTTATGTGACTGCTCTAACTTATAAAGCTCCACCATCACCCTCTTTATTTTTTCCCCCCATTCTTTCTTTTTTTTAGCTCCTATCGCAATCAATATTCCCCTAATATATGCTTTATGTGTCTCCCAAGTTGTTGCTGCGGAAACATCCTCAGTCTGATTGAGCTCAAAGATTTGCTCAATTTCCTTCCTTGACCTTTTTTCTATTTCAGGATCTTGTATAAGCGTCTCATTTAACCTCAAGGTATTTGTCCTATCCTTATCCCCTCCTACCCACAGTCTCATTGTGACAGGAGTATGATCAGCAATAGACATAACCTCTATGTTGGAGCTCACCAACGACTTCAATTGTCTGTGCTCAATCATAATATAATCCAGTCTTGAATATGTTCCATGTACTAAAGAGAAGAAGGTGTAATCTCTTTCTCTTAGATGTTTCACTCTCCAAGTATCCATCAATTGATATTGATATCATAGCCTCTTCAGAAATTTTAATTTCCTGCCACCCTCTCTCTGTGTATCCGATGACGTATCCAACTGTGGATCCAGACACAAAATAATATCTTCTGCCACAACCAGACTACCCTTTTTAAATTCAGACAGTTTTCTTAACACGCCCTCCAAGAATGATACTGGATTATTATTCAGACAATAGATATTAGCTAGAGTTTGTTCAAATCCTTGTAATTTTCCCTTTAGAAATAAAAACCAACCCTCTGGGTCCTCCAGTCTCCCCTCCAGGGTAAAACTAACATTTTTTTAAAACCAGATTGCTACTCCTTTGGTTTTATGTTGATTCCCCAGTTAAAAGGGCTACATAAGATAGTACTTCGTATATAACTTAACGTTAGTATCATGGGTTTTATGTGTCTATTGTAGAAACACTACATCTATGGAGTGTTGGTGTATTTTCCTAAGTATCTTATGCTTTTTTGTAGGCATCTAATCATAGACAGCCTACCCCCAAAACCCTCATGGCACACATATTGCCCTGGAATCTGTCGTGAGTTATATCCACTAGCGATTCTTAATTTGGGGTGAGACTCAATACATGCATGCCCCCTCCGATCCCTAGCTTGTATCATTGATCTGATTGGAGTTTGACAGCATGTCTGACCTCCAGGCTACCCGCCAACCCATAGCCCCCTCTACCCCTCCATCCCTCCCACCCAGCAATCTCAGCCGGGAAGAAAGGGGCCGAGGGCAGAGGGACCCATGATGCAGCCGGGGGAGAGCAGTGGGAGATGTGCCGAAGAGAGAGAGAGAAAAAAAAAAAAGGGGGGGCACATACCAAACTCCAGAGTACACCTAGGGATAATCCTCTTCTCCCATCCCCTTACTCCCTCTCTCTCTGACTCCCTCACCACTCCCACCTACCTCATCTTCCTAGCTGCCATTCGAAAGGATAGAAGAATAACCAAAATGGCAAGGACTCAGCCAACAATCAGCTCCAGGAAGATCAAAGAAGGTCTAAAGTTACCTGTGAATACTGTTACAATTAGAAGACGCCTATGTGAAGCCAAGCTATCTGCAAGAAGCCCCCACAAAGTCCCACTGTTGAAAAAAAGACATGCTGAAGAGGTTACAATTTGCCAAAGAGCACATTGACTGGCCTAAAGAGAAATGGCGCAACATTTTGTGGACTGATGAAAGTAAGATTGTTCTTTTTGGGTCTAGTGGCCGGAGACAGTTTGTCAGACAAACCCCAAACACTGAATTCAAGCCACAGTACACTGTGAAGACAGTGAAGCATGGTTGCACAAGCATCATGATATGGGCATGTTCTCATACTACGGTGTTGGGCCTATTTATTGCATACCAGGGATCATGGATACATCAGAATACTTGAAGAGGTCATGCTGCCTTATGCTGAAGAGGAAATGCCCTTGAAATGGGTGTTCCAACAAGACAACGACCCCAAACACACCAGTAAACGTGCAACATCTTGGTTCCAGACCAACAAGATTGACGTTATGGAGTGGCCATCCCAATCCCCAGATCTTAACCTCCCTGGCGGTATTCCCGAGTGTAGCTCTGGGTAAAGTTTCGTTACCACAAGCGGTAACCCCAAGCTACACATGGAAATACCATGCGGCGCTGCTCCACGATCTCTTCTACACTTACCTTGTCCTGCGCTCCCTCTTGCAGTGTCCCCAGCAATGTAATCCGGCGGATGCCGGCATCTGTCTTCTGTGTTCCGTCCCCTGCGAGCGTCAGGACGTACGGGGGACGGAACAGTGGGAAATTTGAAAATGACAAAAAGTGACATTCACTAAAATCACTAAAATCACATAGTAAAACATTACTGTATCAAAGCATTTCACATACATTTTATCCCTAGTGCCTTGTCCTGTGCCCTGCCTGCATTTTTATTGTCCTTATTGCCTGGAAACTGAGAAACGTCCATGGCGTCCAAAAAATGTCCCTTTAGGTCAAAAGCGGTTTTAGACCAGCTAGAGAACAGCGATAGTAAATCAGAACCACTTGCAGAATTGAGTGATAATTATTTGTGGGGAAATTCGTCATCAGCCACTAAAAACAATTTTGCGACTTTGCTCAGTGATGTGTGAACTTGGCGCTCTATTTCAAATTTCAGTGTTTTTGGTTTGATTATATTATTGAATTACATTTTTTATTATTATTATATTATTATTTTTTATGATTATTTATTAAATTATAATTTATGATTTCGTGTTTCAAGTTTTATCCTACCCGGGATGTTTTACTAGACTTTTGTTCGGACAGATTTCAGTGAGTTATTCCTAAGAATTACAGGCCTACAATATAAAATGCCAAATTTCCATGCAAAATAATGGTACCGCTTTCAGCACCAAAAATCTGAAATAATCATACCGCCAGGGAGGTTAATCCAATAGAAAACTTGTGGGGTGACATCAAAAATGCAGTTTCTGAGGCAAAACCAAGAAATAGAGAAGAACTGTGGAATGTAGTCCAATCATCCTGGGCTGGAATACCTGTTCACAGGTGCCAGAAGTTGGTTGACTCCATGCAACACAGATGTACAGCAGTTCTCAGAAACAGTGCTTATACAACGAAATATTAATTAAGTGATTCAAAGGAAAGCAAAATCTTCAAACATTTTTCAGTTTATATAGTGAATGTTTGAATTTGTAAAGAAGAATACAAACACTGCTATTTTTTTGACCAGTCTAATATTCACTTTTCTTCAATTTTTTTAGAGGAACAACACAAATTTGATATATGTTTCTTCATGTTTTGATTTGGAATAGAATGTGTAGTGTTCCCAATGCATTTGTGTGTATGGAAATAAAAAGCTATTAGAAGGATTTTGAGCTTTATTCACTTTTTTCAACACACTGCTATTATTTTGAACACAACTGTACATGTACCCTAGGGAAGTGTTACCCGTGACCTTTTTAACAAAAGCCTGCAAACTTGTCGTAAAAAAGGCCAGAAAAAATAAAATTCAGTTCCCACAGACTTCAGTAGTATTTGGTGCTATGTTCAGGTTTAGTGTATTTTATCGTGGGCTTGCTGAACCTCTTTGAAACTGTACTTTGCCTAGTTCACTCTCATAATTACTGCATACTTGTTCTAGGTCAGTGACTTAAACCATTGAAGCTAAAAAATCAGTGCAATAGCCAGGCAACTGGGATTTTTAGGGGAGAGTTCAACACAGGCATCCTAAATGTTTTTCTCATATGTTTCTTTTAGGGCCGGTTCACATCTCTCTTTGTGTTCTGGATGCGCTTCTGTATGCACATTTTTATGCATTTTTAATGCATTCCAGTGCATTTTTCCCCACTAGAATGCGTTTTTGATGCATTTTGTCATGTTCCAGATGCATATCTATGCAGAAAAATGTAACATTGTACTTTTGTAGATTGCACTGGAACACACTGTACTGGTGCGAACTAGGGCCATTTCAATTGTTATACATACATTAAACGCTGTCCATGCATTTTTGAAGCAGAATAAAAAATGCATTGGACTGCATCTGGTGTGACTCAGCCCTTAAAGAATAAGTCCACACCAGATGATATTTCATTTCATTCGTTTGCCTTTTATTTTTAAGCACCACATACAGTACCTAGAGCACTGTATTACTTTACATTGTGGAGCAGAAAGAGAGACAGGGAGTCAAAAATTAGACAAGGAAACTTGTGGGAAAAAAAGAAAGCCACTTCAAGATTATTACCCAAACCAGTCATAGCTGAAAAAATAATAGTGTTGGGTGATTTTTTTTGTGACATTGTAAAGTATACAGTGAAAGAAATAAGCAGTTGATCCCCTGCTGATTTTGAATGTTTGCCCACTTACAAAGAAATGATCAGTCTAAAAATCGAATGGTAAGTGTTGCATGTTCATGATGGAAATAAGTATTTGATCCCCTTCACAAAACATGACTTAGTACTTGGTGGCAAATCCTTTGCTGGCAATCACAGAGGTCAGACGTTTCCTGTAGTCGGCCACCAGGTTTGCACACATCTCAGGAGGGATTTTGGCCCACTCCTCTTGGCAGATCCTCTCCAAGTCATTAAACTTTAGTGGCTGACGTTTGGCAACTCCAAATTTCAGCTCCCTCCACAGATTTCCAATCGGATTAAGGTCTCGAGACTGGCTAGGCCACTCCAGGACCTTAATGTGCTTCTTCTTGAGCCACTCCTTTGTTGCCTTGGCCATGTGTTTTGGGTCATTGTCATGCTGGAACACCTATCCACGACCCATTTTCAATGCACTGGCTGAGGGAAGAAGGTTCTCCCCAAAGATTTGATAGTACATTGCCCCGTCCATCGTCCCTTTGATGTGGTGCAGTTGTCCTGTCCCCTTACCAGAAAAACACCCCCAAAGCAGAATGTTTCCACCAACATCTTTGACAGTTGGGATGGTGTTCATGGGGTCATAGGCAGCATTTCTCCTCCTCCAAACACGGCGAGTTGAGTTGATGCCAAAGAGCTCGCTTTTGGTCTCATCTGACCACAACACGTTTAACCTGTCCTCCTCTGCATCATTCAGATGTTCAGTGGCACACTTCAGACTGGCCTGGACATGTGCTTTCTTGAGCAGAGGGACCTCGCGGGCACTGCAGGATTTCAATCCTTGTCAGCATAGTCTGTTACCAATTTTCTTGGTGACTGTGGTCCCAGCTGCCTGGAGATCATTGACAAGATCCTCATGTGTAGTTTCTGGGATGATTCCTCACTGTTCTCATGATCATTGACACTCCACGAGATGAGATCTTGCATGGTGCACCAGACCTTGGGAGACTGACAGTTGTTTTGTGTTTCTTCCATTTGCGAATGATTGCTCCAACTGTTGTCACCTTCTCACCAAGCTGCTTGGCGATAGTCAACAATCTACAATCTTGTCCCTGACAAGCTCTTTGGTCTTTGCCATGGTGGAGAGTTTGGAATCTGATTGTTTGATTGCTCCTGTGGACAGGTGTCTTTTATACTGGTAACAAAATGGGATTAGCAGCACTCCCTTTAAGAGACTGCTTCTAATCTCATCTTGTTACCTGTATGAAAGACATCTGGTAGCCAGAAATCCTGCTGAATGATAGGGGATCAAATACTTATTTCCCTCTAATTTGTTAGACATGCATTTATTTTGAATTTTTTTACAGTTTAAAAGTGAATACTTGTGAGCTACTATAACTCAGGTGTTCATTATATTAGGTGAAATTGGTGGTAGTAAAACTACCTGTATATTGTGCTAGGTTCGCTGACACTGTCACAAACTCACTTGATTGTGTATTTGTTAATCGATTAAATATACTTATAATGCATATAGTGCATGAAAAAATAAAATAAAAAGTCTTTTATATAACTTTGTGCAAATGTGCAATGTGAACTCCTTAATCCCTCTTTCCAGGTGCCGTGTAGTCTCAATATGTGCTCACCTTAATATTTGCCCAAATAAATTTAGGCAAATAGACTTTTAGTCCTTGCAGGACTGGTGGGATAATGCTCCTCTATGCAATATTCCAGATGGATGTGAAGGCCTGCACAGATCCTCCTATAATCTCCTCTTAAATCATACACGTAGCCTCTCATAGATAGACATTTGAAAAGAGTATGAGTGTCTCCTATTTCCCGTCCTGGGGACTAAAAGTCTATTTGCCTAAATTTATTTGGGCAAATATTAAGGTGAGCACATATTGAGACTACACGGCACCTGGGAAGAGGGATTAAGGAGTTCACCTGCACATTGCACATTTGCACAAAGTTATATAAAAGACTTTTTATTTTATTTTTTCATGCACTATATGAATTACAGCAGAATATTTATTATGGCATTGATATTATTGATTGAGCACTAATGGCATGCTTTGGCACAATAATGGTTTGATTTTTATTAATTTATCACAATAATTAATTAATTAATTGATTTTTATTTATTATCTATTAGTTTATTTATTAACTATTAGTTTATTCATTGTATTTATTATTATGAGTGATATACAATATATGATCAAGTATTTATAGTAGGAGCGCGGCATTATAAGTATATTTAATATTTTGAATTTTTTGTTGCTATTCTGTCTCTGTGTTACAATACGCCTACCATTCAATTTTTAGACTGATCATTTCTTTGTGAGTGGGCAAACATTCAAAATCAGCAGGGGATCAAATACTTATTTCCTTAACTGTATTCTACCCTGTAGTGGGATGAGCCATTGCCTAAGTTAACACAATTAAATGTCTAGGACTGTGTTACAATCATACTGTATGTAGGAGAGCAAAAATGTAAGCAATACCTTTCCTGGAGCTAACCTAAAATATAAGTGAAGGGATGGACGCTGATTAACCGACCCCAGGAGTCCAATGTTGAGGAATAGCCTCAGCTGCTGCACTGGCCATGGCTCTGACGCGTTTCACCCGGCCATCGGGGCTTGGTCACAATGCATCAGAGGGTGTGGCCAATACAGCGGCTGAGGCCATTCCTCAAGATTGGACTCCTGAGGTTGGTTGAGCAGCATCCATCCCTTCACCTGTATTGGCTGACACTGGAATCGCTCGGACTCATGCTCCCCTCTTCTCACTTGCCAGTGGGGTGATCCTTTTCCTTCCATCCATAGCTTGGAGTGGTATTATAAGGTATACCTAACCTAAAAATATGTTTAGGTGCAAATTTCATAAAGAAGTCCCTGGGCAGCTCAACAATGTCTCACATATATTAGTAAAGTGGTCAGCAAAGTTCTAACAAGACATAAGGAAACATAAATGTAACAACTACTGTAGGAATTGACATTAAACACAGTGAAGACTGAGGAAATTCTAATGTATTACCGTGTGGAATTCTGCCCATTTCAAAAGTCTGAATTCCCGTGACTGCTTCTCTTTAG